TCGGCATTCTTTGACAGCCCTGGGTCCACGCTACAGGAGGCACCACAATGTGGCTACAAAGAGCAAGGCATGAGGAGTCTTTAGAAGATGTGGATTAGATCCCAGCTAAGCCACCTGCTAGTGATTCCAGCCTGGTCACCCCACCTGAGCTGGCTCCAGAGGTGCTCAATGTATACAGTGGTAATAAACCCTTGGGGATGCTGTGAGGAAGCAGGAACACTGTGCCTGTAGAATGCCCAGCACTCAGCCTTGGCACATGGTGGGTACTCAAGGTGGCACAGCCTTTGTTAACTACAGAAAATCTGTATAAAGACGCAAATTCCAGTAGCTTCTCTAGTCACATTTACTGTCAGGAAACTGCCATTCAAGGTCCAGAGGAAAAGCTAAAATTCTATTTCTGTGTTCTGTGAAATAAATCCATCCCTCATTTAAGCAGCCTCACAGGATATGTATTCCCAGAAAAGTCAGAGGTAGGGACTTCTCTATTTCCACCATATCTATATCCATCCCCCATGGATGGATTCCCCCCCACCTTTCATTCTCTTTGTCCCTTAGAGACCAAGTCTCCCGAGGGAGCTGATCAATGTCCTGTGGACAGGCTGCCACCGTGTGTCAAATGGAAAAACACACAATCCTAAAGAAAACACAGTAAGACGCTTCTTCCTACAAACTTTGACCCAAAGTGAGAGAGAATGGAGAGCAGTTTTAGATATCCATAGAGGTGAAGTGGTCAGCAGGGACTCGAGTATAACTTGCCTCTCCCAAGTCACGGATCCTCTTTAAGAACCGCTTTTCAAAATGTGTGGGATCCACTTCAGTTGCTGGCTTTTTTTCTGATACGATGTCTGGATCTAACAGAAGAGAAAAGAAAACATGTGAAAAAGGAGTGATTGCCCCTCACAGGCTCCTTGTTATCCCTCCCTCCCCCGGGCATTGGCTGGTCTTGGTTAAAAAGCTCAAGGCAGAGTCTTACTCTGCTCCTCCAGCTTATTGATGTCTCTCATGATGGCTCGGAAGAAGGGTCTCTGGTTGGGGTCGTAGTTCATGCAGCGGGTCATAAGGTCAGCTAACTCCTTACAAGACGGGGTCACTGGCCTGCACCGGCTTTCATAGAACCTCTCTTTCTGCAAGGAAGAGGACCACATAAAAGAAACCAAAGGAACCACTCACAGACCTTTTAGCCCCAGGTCAGAAGGAGTTACCTAACAATCCCTAATTTAACTCCCAACAGCTTTGCTTAAAAGTAGACGTCATAAAAAAAAAAAAAAAAAAAAAAAGGTTAACATCATAAACGTGGGTGCGCTAATGCTGTTTCTCTAGCTGTGGGAAATCTTAGTCCTGGATACTAAAATAATCCGAATTCAAGGAAAACAGGCAGTATATTCCACCCAGTCCCAAATAAGCTGTATTCCAGCAAAGTCATGCAACCTTCTGGAATATGATTTGGCAACATGTGTAGAAATCTTCAGATTCTTCAAACTCTCATTAATTGCAATTACTGAACGACTCAGAAATAAGTCAGAAACAAAGATTTATGTTTAAAGATATTCCCTGCAGAATTAGACAGAACATTACAAATTTGAAAACGACCTCAATGCCAAATATAAAATTAGTTAAATAAATCAGAGTTTACGGAAACAACTCTTAACATCAAATTAGTAAAAACTGTAAGACTTATTTAATCGTATAGCAAAGTACTCACAACATTAAATGAAAAAATATACAACATTAAATGAAAAAGTAACTATCTAGCATGGTCCCAAGTTTGTTTAAAAAAGAGAGATATAAACAGACTGGAAGACAATATGCCAAAGTGTTAAATATTAGTTAGGGGTGACCAGAATATAGTGATTAATAATTTCTTTTTTAAAAATACTTTTCTCTGTTTTCTAAATTCTCATCAACGGGGTTAATACTTTAAAATTCTGAAACGAATAATTGATGCCCTTTAAAAAAAATTAAGTTAATTTGCTACACTTTAGGCTCTGGTCTGTAGCTGACTCTCAAGGGTACTAGTTTCTCTTCTGGTCCCTGTGGGTCCTAGGGTGGGGTGGGGGCAGGCCCCAGAGGAGAGGAGGAAGACGGGTTGGAATTAAGGAGCTGAGAGCTCCCCCTGCCTTGGAGTGTCTCTCACTCTTCCAGGCTCCAGTAGAGCCAGGGGGAAAGGTCGCCCAACCCACCCAAGGGTACCTGGGAGAAGAGACAGACCCTCCTTTATCAAAGGGACAGACCTTTCCTTACACCATCTCTGTATTCTGCTCAGTCCTGGGTACACAGAAGGTGCTCAATAAATACTGACTGACAGCAAAGGGTATGCTGTTTTGTTTCCAAGGAAGTTAAAAATAAAATGACTCCCAAAAGCCCCAGCTGAAAATCCTAAATACAGATCTATGGATGTGACGGTTTCTCTGTTGGTTTTAGCTTAACTCCTCTTTCCCAAGTCCTGCACCATGTTTACCTGGCAAAAGGCTAACAGGTTAAAGGTTCTTTCACCTCTTCGGTATCTCCTCCACGTGCACCCTCCACTCTGGATCCTCACTGCCACTTCCTGGTTCAGGCTGTCGCCACTGAGACCCTCAGAGCAAGAGGCCTCTCCTCAGCCTGTCCATCCAACCACCATCCAGATGAACTGTGCCCAGTCTGGCCTCTGAGCACCTGGCCCCCCCACCCAAACCCTTCAATGCCCCACATCACCCCAGTAAAATTCTGCAGCCCAGCATTCAGGGCCTCTATACAATCCGACCTCAAAGGACCCTTCGCACCTTTTTTACCTGTCATTCCTCTCCACACTCCAAGCAAATGAAACTGCTCCCTGTCGACAACTGAAATGCCACCCTCCCTTGGACTTTGATCATTCCCCCCCAGCTAAAAGTGATGACTGCCCCTCTAAAGACACAAGACACACCCTAATAGTCAAATCAGTGAGTTGGGATCAGTGGTCCTTCACTCTTTCACTGCTTTATCCCTTTGGAGTTAGAGCCTCCACTAGCTTTCTGCAAGTGAACACGAGAAAGGGTCAGCCTCGAAGTTCTGCATTCTAGCTAAGGAACCCGGGCCTTGGGCCACCTGCATCTGTTACCTGACCTATAAAACAAGGGTAATGACAGTGCCCTACCCAACATGCAGGGCTCTTAAGGTGATGATTTCAGATATTATGTGTGGAATCCTTATCGCTGTTTTAGCCCAACTCTCCTACTACACCCTAAGGTCCTCAAGGGTAGGCAAGGCCTGTGTCTGTTTCATTGTGAACCCCCAGCTTTAACTTAGGACAACGCCTGGTACACAGGAGGAACTCAATAAATATCTGGGTGTTAATTTTGCAATGCTATAGTGATCTACTGAGCACACATTGTGTACCTGGGACTCTACACGCATTATTTACTTAATCTTCACAACAACCCTGCAAAGTAGGTATTATTTATTCCCATTTTACAGATGATGAAACCAAGGCCCAAGGAAATTAAGTAACATTTGCGAGGTCACACAGGCAGTGTAAGCTTGTGGAGGAGAGTCAAACCCGTGCCCACCTCCTCCCACAATATGAGGCTTCCTGATAACTCCTGAGACACCCATGAGTGTCCAAGGGGTCCTCACTCAGTTCACACTCTGGAAAGCAACTCACCTCAATCAGTGTCTTGTCTTTCAAGGGGATCTCGCCATTGTAGCAGATCTCCCAGAGCGTGGTTCCAAAGCTCCACTTGTCAGCGGCCACACTCAGGTTCTTGGAGTCTTCAACACATTCAGGAGCGATCCATGGGATTCGTTCTATGCACTCTGGAAAAGACAAGAAACATTTACAGATCAGTTTCTGCAATCACCTGGGGAGTATATCACTGCCACTGCAGCAAGAACTGGGAGTTAAGAAACTCTTTCAAGTAGTGTTTTCCAAACATGGACCATAGCTGCCCTGGTCCTGCAGGGAGCTTGTGAAAGAGGCGGTTTTCCAGGTCCCTCAGCCCTGGCCCTTCCAATGCGTCGACGTCTGAGTCAGGGCCTGCAGCTGTGTCTGTTTTAACACAAACTCCCCAAGAAGGTCGTGTGAGTCAGTCTTTGAAGCTGTGGCCTCAGAAAGAGCAAAGCACCCCAGGGTGGAAGCCAACACCCTGGGGAGGGAGAACAGGGGGGCACATGGACAAAGGCTTAAGAGAGAGAAGGCCGGGGAGAAGAGGCTGACAGATGCAGAGCGGGCATGGGCTTACCCCCATACTCTGCATATCGCCCTGCAAGGGCCCAGGGGTGCAATGGTATCCCACGTATGACCTACAGGTAGAGCATGACCTGTGCTGCACTGCTTACAGTGTCTCAGCTCCCAGGTCTGCCCTCTCCTTTGGAGTCCTCAACTCATGATGACCTCATTCAAAGCGAAGCTGCAAGACCACAGCAATTGCTAAGGTGCCTCCCCAAACTGCTCACTAACTACAGTGGATTTCTTGCTTTGTTTTGTTTTTAATTTTTATTGTAGTTGCTTACAGTGGATTTTAAAACAAACACAGGTAGGACCCAGGTCCCACTCCTCCTGACACATCTCTGACCACCCCAGGTCCTTGGCCTCCCCTTGAACAAGGTGCTGCCCTGGCACCTTAAACACAGCTCCTTCATCGCAAGACCAGACCTGCCCCAGCTCAGTTGTGTTTCTCCTACTGCAGAGTCAGCTCCTGGAGGGCAGGGACCGACCCCCCCACGAGTGACATCTCCCCTGCCCCCAGGGCTGGGCAGAAGCACAGACGCCTTTTGCAGAAGTGTGCTTTCTAAAATGAGGCAGAACCCCAGCCCAGCCCCCTTCCCTGCTGGCCTGGCCCTGCCTCAGGGTGGGGGGAAGGGGATGGGTGGGGCAGGAGATGGGAGGGAGGGAGGACACACCTTGCCTGGACAGCACAGTGACGGGGATGCCGGGGTCACTGAGCTTGATGAAGGGGCCGCACTCGCTGTCAGTGCCCTCGCGGGCCAGGAGGAGGTTTTTAGTGCACACATTTCCATGGACCAGATCTTTATCCTCCTGCAGAGTGAAAAGGCAGAGCTCAGCAAAGTTGCCCATGGAGCTGCCCTCCTTCCCACGGTCTCTCCTGTTTCCCACAGGGCATAATCCACATTCCCCAGCCCCAGCCAGACCCGGGCAGCTTAGCTCTCCCGCCGATGATCTGTGTGACTCAGGCACATTATATAACATCCCTTTACTCCAGTTCCCTCATCAGTGAACCAGGGATAACAACGGAGCATGCCTCATAGGGCTTTTGTGAGAATTAAGGTGATTATCAGAGCCTGAAAAACACCTGAACAGCTGAGCCATGGTAAACAATAAATGTGAGCTACTATTGATGCTAATAGTTTCATTCACTCATTCAACAAGTACTGTAATATTTCTACTCTTATCATACACTGCAGTATGGAAGTCAGTCCTCTGAAGTGATAAAAATTTCCTTCTAAGCAGGATTCATACGTAAGCACACAGAACAGCCCACGATGATGGCTTTCACTAAGCACCAGGCACACCTGTGTTTAGGTGCAGAGCCTGGGCCCTCCAGCCTGCTTGGCTGGTACCTCCTTCCTGCCTCCCCACATTCTGGTTCCTGATGGGGACCACCACAGACATCAGAACATACTTACCAAGTAACTCAGGGCGCTGGCCAGCTGTTTGGCAACTTTGAACTTCCAGGGTGTGGTGAGGACATCACTTTTCCGGTGCATGAAGAGATCCAGGGGCCCTCCCTCCACAAACTCTTCCACCATGATATCTACAAACACAAGAACAGCCACACCTGCAAACTTCTGTCCATCTGGGACAGCACCCTCCCTCATCCCCTTACGAGAGCTCACTTTAATGGCTGGTACTCCGCCTGGGGGTGCCAATGGTAGAGTGCTTCAGAGTCAGACGGGCCTGGGTTCAAGCCCTGCCTGGAGCTCCTTCTACTCTGACTCTCTGGGCAACGAACTCAGCTCACTCACTCCCCGAGTCTAGCATAGCGTGGGGCCCAGAGCTGGCAAGAAGTAAACACTCAAGAAATTAGTGAAAAACAGATGGGGTCTCGTTCCATGTCCACTATTAACTTAAGCAACCGACCTGCTCAGTACTTTGAATTCCTTGATTGCAAAAAGAAAGGCAAGAAGCCTGGGCGACGTGAGGGGGGGTATCAGCTCCCACTCATCTTCACATCAACCATGCTCCCTGGCCAGGGCCGACTTCCCCTTCCAAAGAGAATACACTTACTCTCCACGTCTCGGACACAAACGCCATAGAGGTACACGATGTGTTTATGGGAGACCTGTCTCATCATGCTGGCTGCCTCAAAGAAGGCCTGTGGGAGAAAAGGACAAAGAAATGTCAAGGGCTGGCCTGCACTGGTCTGATCCTAAAGGGGCTCGGCTGAGAGGAAAGTCAGTGGATCCCAGGAAAGGTGACCACTGTCCTCATCCCAAGCCCTGAAACTACTCCCCTGGCCTCAACTACCCAGAGGCACTGCCAAGCCTCAACTATGAGGGCCATCTAGCTGGGACATAGGACTCATTTAGAAAACCTAATAGGATGCAGGCTGGCGGGATAGGCTGGCTGACAATGTCCCCATTCGATACTCATGTCCACCACTTCCTCTTCCTTCAAACTTTGGGAAATAACAACATTTGACACTATATTAGAATAAAAGGAAAACCAAAGCAGCAGATGTCTGTCAAGACTTGGCTTTACCACTCTCTAACAGTTTGTGGGATCTGGGGTAAGTCATTTTACTGCTCTGGGCTTTACTTTCCCAGACTCTGAAGTGACAGCCTGGACTGCATCATGCACTTTGAGACCATTCAGCTAGAGTCTGGGGCTCCACGGCATCGCCACATGGACCTCTAGGAAGGAAACGGGAGAGAGTGGGACGTACTGGGAGGGACAGGCCCAAAATCAGGGCAAAGGCTCTTCTTAGACCACTGTGCTCTACTGGCTCCAGAAATGAGGGAGGGGAGAGGGTAGGGTTGTGAGGAAGACACTTGCCAGAGAAATGTCCCTGTGGCTGGGGTCTAAGACTTTGAGGATCACTTTTATTCTCTTCTCTTCGGAAGTTCCTTCGTCATCCTTGTAATCCATGAGGGTCCCAGAGTAGATGTGTGTCCGCGTGCCTCTCCCAAGGTGCTCGCCCTGAGAGGAAGCAGGAGGTTAGGGTGACCACCCCCTAGGGCTTCAGTGGTGCCAGAGTCTGGGACTGAGTCCTCAGTGGGAACGCACATTAGCGGGGGTGGGGCAACGGCAAAGGGGCCCCAGGAGCTCAAGCCTCTCCAGTGCCTGGTCCTGTCAGGCCCCCAGAGGTGACAAAAAGCTACCTGGCCAAACACAGCTGTGGCACTCCCTGGGCCCCAGGAAATAATCCTCATATTCTCTCTGAACAGCAACCCGCTATCTACCTCCAGGAACAGCCTGGGGCCGAAACATAACCCTGACCTTTCACAAAACTTCCAACAGTGCCATCAAAAGCCACCAATGTCAGCCCCCACCCAGGCCTCCAGAACAGACTCAGAGAGGACCTCCCTCCCTGCTCCCCCAGGATGCTCCTCCACTCACAGGAAGGGGTACAAAGAGAACAGGCTTGTGAGCCCTACTGCTTGCTGGCCTTTTAACTTCGAGACCTCCTTTCATCACACTCAATCAGCACCCACTTTCTGTAAATGGGTTAACGTAACAATGTACCTGCCTTGTAGGGTTGGTTTAAGAATCAAATGAGGAACTAGGTAGAACAGCTCCTGGCGCACAGTGGGTAGAAGCCAATCCACTGGGCCAGTGTGTTTTGTCTGATCGCCCTCTCACACCTAAACTATTCATTTTCTATCTACCTGATGCATGGGTGCACATGTGCATGCTTTCAAATTAGTGATACAATTTATACATACATATGCCCTAGCAATCCCCAGAGGAAGGTGATGTAAAGACAGAGGCAGAGACTGGAGGGACAGGCCTCAGTTTTCCCACATATGAAAAGGGATAATAAAACCAAATGAGCAGCGTAAGAACTAAATGAGATCATCTGCTCAAGGCCCCGAACATATAATGATCTGTCTCTAAGGCCGTTCCAGCTTAAGCTTTAATAATTATGGTTTAAATACTCTTAATATTTGAAAATCAAAATGTGATGATGCATGAAATTCAGGCATTGTCAAACTATTGACATTAACCCCACAAAACTTATTATTTGGAGTTCTATTATTCTATTATCCTAGGACCACCTATAAATGCAGTAAATGCATTGTGGCTGACTCCCTCAGCTGATTTCTGTCTCCCTCAAGAATGTATACAATCGGGCTTCCCTGGTGGCGCAGTGGTTGAGAGTCCGCCTGCCGATGCAAGGGACACGGGTTTGTGCCCTGGTCCGGGAAGATCCCACATGCCGCGGAGTGGCTGGGCCCGTGAGCCATGGCCGCTGAGTCTGCGCGTCTGGAGCCTGTGCTCCGCAATGGGAGAGGCCACAGCAGTGAGAGGCGCGCGTACCACAAAAAAAACCCCACAACTAAACAGGGACTTCCCTGGCGGTCTAGTGGTTAGGACTCAGCACTTCCACTGCAGGGGGTCTGGGTTCGATCCCTGGTCGGAGAACTAAGATCTCCATGTGGTGCGCCCAAAACAAAGAAAAATCCCACAAACAAAAACAAACGAAAAGATGAATTCCAGGATGGCAGTTCATACACATAAAACATTACAGAAAATATAATCAAGTGCTTGATCTAATTCTCCTTTACTTTTATTAAAGTGGTTCAATGTTTCTCTACCATTAGTTACTCCAAAATAACACTAGAAAAGCATCTACCATTAGCTACTCCAAAATAACACAAGAGGGGGCTTCCCTGGTGGCGCAGCGGACACCACCATTTGTCATCTGTCATAGCAGAATGGTGATACATCCGCCCCGTCTCCTATATCCTGGCAAGCTCCTGTGACTATTCATTAAAGCTGCATGTGTCATGAAGCGATACATCAAGATTATGGGTAGTTGCATTCCCAGAACATCCCACAAAAGCCATATGCTTTCAGAATAATTACTCTTCCTCAGAAGGGGTGCTTATTCCAGGGCCAAGTCATGGCTCTGTGCTGTCAGGATTCCACAGCAACCCGGATACCCCTGCGTGTACCACCTCAGCCTCCCTCCATGCTGCGCCTTCTGCCTTTGTCTAGCACTTGTCCATCCTCTGGGGCTCTGCTTTGATACCACTTCCCCCAGAAAGCCACTGCTGTGCCCCCAAGACTAGGTAGGATGACCATCTGACAGTCCCACATCCTGCCATACTTCCCTACTTAGGGCTTGTCTCCTGGTGGTATAATTATCTGCTTAAGATAGACGAGAGTCTGCCTCGCCCACCGGACTGTGAGCCTGCCGAGGGTGGCAGTCATGCCCGGCATGGGCAACTGCTCAATCACTGTTGGCTAAATGAACGCTGGAGGTGCAGAGGGTGGTAATGTGCCCAGAGACTCAGGGGCAAGGACAGAAGGAAGACCCCAAGTACATGTCAAGTTCCAGGCAGAAAAGAGGCTGGGGTACTGCTGATCTGCGATTTTAATCTCTGGACACAGCTCTGATAACCACCCGAGGGACAGAACAGTAAGATCTGGCCCTCAGTGAAGCATTTACGTAAGCGAAGCGAGGCACTTGCAGCTGTGGACTTCCACTCCGTCAAAACCTCCCCAACAATTTCAGGGACCGGCTTCAAAGAGTAAATGAGCAAGCCAGCCCCACCCACGTTTGCCACCCTCCGCCAGGCTCCTCGATGACAGTGAGCCCACGATTTCCCCTCCAACACCTCCAAGGTGACGCAGCCTCTGCCGGGCAGTAAGCGGCCTATGTGGATTCCTTCCCTCCGAGGCCGCTGGCACGCCGCCCCCCTAGCCTCCCCGCCCCGCGTGTGGCTCTGTGTAAGGGGCTGGGGAGGGGGATGCAGAACGGAAAGTGGGGGTCCCATGGGCCTCACACCCTAGCAAGGCCCAAGGACAGCTACAACGGAAACTGGGCCTGCGTAAGGCTGCAGACTCTGGGCAAAGGCCTCCCAAGGCCGGGACACTGGTCTAAGGGATCTGATTCTCAAGACAGTTCTCCTCCAGGGCGCGCCTCCTGCTCCCTCACTGTGCTCTGTGTGCCCCCAGCTTTGCTCCTTCTGGAAACGTCACCAGAAAGCCGAGGACTGAAATTCAGAAGTGCTTTTTCACACAGCATGTTTTGGGACAGTGAGGATCATGAGCCCATACTCCCCTGTGGAGACCTGTCAGCATTCCCACCAAGTTCTCCAATTACTTCCACCTGCAGAAGACCAGGCATGGAAGGTCCCTATTACCCTAGGTAACCCTGCAAAACTTGACTAACCCAGCTCTTTCAAGGAGAAAGCAAACTTCTAGGGCGCATCAGCAAGGCCGGGTTGGACAGCAGGGAACCGGCTGACCAGCTTTACCTATGAAGGGGAAGTCTTGCTCTTCTTCCACCAGGGTCTCCCCAAACCCGACTTCATCCTCTCCACATTCCCCAGGCTTTTCTGCTGTGGGAAGGCAGGACCAGGGCTGGACCTGCAGCAGTGACTCACCTGCATAATATCTTTCTTGAGGATCCGATCAAAACTCAGCTGGCTCATGGGGTAGACAGGCTGCCACTCCTGGGCTTTCTTGGTGGCCACCAGCAGATTGGAGATTTCTATGGAAGAGAGAGGAGAAGTCTGAGCAGAGCAGCGAGGGTCTAAGGTCCCAGCTGGCCAACATCTGCTGGGCCATGGGCTTGCTGAATACATACTTGTGCATTTGTTGGTTCAGTCATTCAACAAATATTTACTAAGTACTTGATTCCCACCCTCCAGGAGCTCCCAGGCTAATAACAGAGCCAATACGAAACAAATAATCAACCAATCAAAATCTGTGCAGCTATTCTTAAAGGGCAGGTACAGGCACTCCAGGGTTGACACAGCAGGATCTGTCCCGGTAAAAGAGGTCAGGGGAGGAAATGAAATGTTAAAAGCTGAGAACGGAAACTCCAAGAATATAGGACCTGCGTCCATCTTATTTCCTGCTCTACCTCCACAGCCTGGTACACAGTATGCACTCAATAAATACTTGTTAAATGTGTAAATGAATAATCAGGTTGTGGGCTGAAGGATGAGAGCTAAGGATGGAGGAAGCACTTTGGGAGTGACGGGAACCAAAATTGGGGGGTGAAAAACACAAGTTTTGTGAGGAACAGGGCGGGTGACCCCAAAAGAAGGTAACGCCTGAGCGTCTCTGGGCTCCCAGCAGCACCTGACAACAGGGGGCACTTACTAAATCCTGGCTGAATGTACAGATTTTGAGCAGACCGTCCCCCAGATTCTACTGATTCAAACAGCAAAGCAAACCCATTACAAAATGTGCCAAGCAGAGTCAGCACAGGTGGCTAACTGGGAATTTATAATCCACGGAAGCTGCCTTCCCTCCATGGAGCCACTGCAAGCTCCAAGGTTATCGTGAGGGAAGAAAGCACCTTCCACATTCGAACTAGTAGTGCGAGTATTCTAGGAGCCCCCGAAGGTTTTTATGTGTTCGTTCACTAGCTGCGAGTACCGGGTCCCTACAGTGAGCCAAGTGACTCAAATCCTCACTACCCTGCAAGGCAGGGTTTTTCTTTTGTTTGTTCTCAGCTCATATTTTCTGACTGCTTTCTCTGTGCCAGGCACTGTCCTAAAGAGCTTTATACACATTAGCTCCTTTGTCCTTATGACAATTCTATGAGATACATAGTATACTTATCCCCTTTTATAGATCAGAAAACAGATTCAGAGCCATTAAACCATTTGCCCACAGTCAGGCTTAGGATTCATGCTGCATTCAGGGCTGGCTCCAGTCTCTTACCTCCACAGACAGCATGCCTGGCCCTAGTGGGGGGTACAAATCTGGGAGCCAAAAACTGGTTCCAATACAGACTCCCTTGTTATCATATCCTGATACTCCCTTTTTCAGAGTCTCCTCTCCTTCATTCTGTTATCCTGACTCCACCCTGTTACCTGGGTAAAATCAGGTTCAAACAGGCAACTCAGGACTGCCCTGATGGAGAAAAGACATCAAGAAAGGGCCACTTGAATGGTGCCCCCAAGGAAGGGTCCGGGCAATAAAGCCATCGAGGAAATCAGGAGGATGGCAACAGGAACCATTTATGGGCTGATTATTTGCATGGCCACTTCAGGAAATATGGCACTGGGATCAACTGTGTGAGCGGGGAAAGCTGTTAAACCTCCATGAAATCTGTTTCCTCACTAGAAAAATGGGGGACACAGTCAAGCCCCTTGTTGGATTGCTGTAAGGGATAAACGAGATGACACACATGAAGGGCTTACTTCAATCCCTGGTGTGAGCTGACTGCCCCATAACCAGCAGCCACTGTGATTATGACCAGTGTTACATCTGTTAGGATGTTACTGTCATCCTTGCTGTACCAGCTGGTTCCTGAAGCCTTGGCAATAATCTACAGCAGTCTTCAGTGTCAGAGCTGGACGGTGTAGAAATCAAGCTTCAAGCTTGACTCCATGAATGAGGACATGAGAGGATCAGTGGCGACTGGTCAGTAGGTCCTGTGGGCCCCTATCTCCTTCTTAACATGGTCACCCTCAGATTTGGAGAGCGGCAGTGGGGCTGGGCAATGCACAAGAGATGTGGACTTTCTTGACTGTCACACCCACTCTGAGTGACCACCTCCTTTTTATTTATTCCATGAGGAGTTTCTTGGTTGCATTTTCAAGTGTGAAACTCAGGTTGGGGTCTGGCCATCAGAAGCCTGTGCTCAGAAGGGCCGAGGCACTGAGGAACCCAAAATGGCATTCTCTTTAGTTTTCATGATTTCACCACTTCTCTAATTTGCAGGTGGCAGAGGGAAGACAGAGGGCTTCTGAGGGCCTATGTGAAAAAGCCGCACACACAGGGCTTAGTCTAGCTCTCCCATCCACAGCACCCTTATCCCCAGGGTCAGGAGAACTGACCCCCACCCCCAGAGTCTTGGGCTGATGACTGCACCTGTAACTTTGCAGAGTGTTATGTAGGGGAAAG